TCAGTACCCACCTTCCTACTCAATGCATTATTTTCCGTGTGCACTTCAAATGACTTTGCCTGGGAGCTATTTAATATTTAAAGGCCTGGCCATTGAAGATTTCGCTTGGCTCTAACATTACTAAATGCGCTTTGATGTTTTAGCCATTAGTTGGGGTTCAGACTGTGCATAAATAAGTAAACGCCACTTCATTAGAAAGTGTCGCTTTATAACCCACCAGCTTGTCGGGTTAGCTGATTTTTAAGTGCTGTTAGTTTTGTGGTTAGTTGACGATGGGTAAGTGCCGCCACTGAATATAATTGTATGTTGCTTGTAAGCATCGTTTGTCTATATTACCGTGGTTATGCGGACTATATGAGCTTGAGACTTTTAATTTGGAAGATATGGTTCTGTATATCGTATCGAAATTTTGACTTGTCGTGAAATCGATAATTATTCTTAGTTGCTTACATAGGAACGTATGTTCGGCCAGCTCAGAACTGCTGGGTATAGGGTATCTCCTAATCGAGCACTCTAGAAATTCTTACATATTTTAGGTGGTGTTGATGATATGTTTGTGTTGTGTCTGCGCTTTGAGTAAAGTGAAAGTGTTAAAAGTCATTTCGTAATCGGGAGGCTTATAAAGTGATGGACTGCAAAGTAGACAGAAGATGATAAATACATACATGTTTTTTTTAATAGGGAAGGGAACTGCTCAGCACTAGAACATACGGAACCATTAAAAATTTAAATGGTTTTGGTATTATATTAATCTGAAAACAAGTCTGAGTCTAAAAGACGCATTAATTTATGTCGATTAATGTTGACGTATCGGATTTATAGATTATGTCTTGTAAATATTAAATTGATCACAGATTTGTTTTTTTTATTTCTTCTGGAATAAATAAAATTAATCTATTCTAGAAATTTTGGTGTAGTTTCCCATTTACTATTGATTTTCTCAAATTGTTTACTCGATTTGATAATGGCGGGCCTAAATTGTTGCAATTGTAACAATGAAGTTTCTAAAATTTACACATGATGAGGAATTTGATGGATTTTCAATCATAGCAAACAGAGCTGGAAAACAATTCATCTGCAATATGTTTAGAAATTCTTAGAAATTTCGATTCAAAATTCAACATTTCTCAACTCTAAAAAAATAGTTTTCCATATTTGAACCCATCTAGCAGTTCTTAATATCACATTTGATAAATGGGAACTGTAGTGAGTTCTATGCAAAAACCGATGATGTATGTCAACATGGACAGTTCGCAGGCGCAGTTTGTACGCCAAACGATAGCCGACAACAAAGTCGTGATCTTTAGCAAGACCTATTGTCCCTACTGCAGCATGGCCAAGGAGCAGTTTCGCAAGCTGAATGTACAAATGACTGTGGTTGAGCTGGACTTGCGTAACGATGCTGATGAGATCCAGGCGGTGCTTGGCGAGCTAACCGGAGCTCGGACAGTGCCGCGTTGTTTTATTAATGGTAAATTTGTGGGTGGTGGCACCGATGTGAAGCGCCTCTTCGAACAGGGCATTCTGCAAAGATACTTCCAGTGACATGAACTGGGGACGATTTACTTTGGGGTTGAAGCTGCAGTTAACTTTATGTTTGATTTGCGTTTGATTGGGTAATAAAAAATCATATTGCATAAATAATGACTATATTTAAAGCTGGCTTGGAAAGGAAATACCTTATTTTTTTTTAATAAAGTAACTAGTTCCAAATTGCTTAAACCAAAATGAGTGGGATTTATTTATTTCTCATATTCCACGTTTAATTTTCAAAAATGCAATGCGTCTGCCTCTAGAAGCGTCCAGCAGGTATATTTTTGCTTTCTGAACATAGCGTAATAACAAGCACATATTCATCCAATTCGCTAACTTCTCGAATTTGTGTGTGTTTTTAATTAAAGCTAAAAAATTTTTTCTACAATTTTTTCTCCTATCACGTTACGCATCCCTATTTGTTTCATAATATTTACACAAAATATCGTGTTTCTAAAGTGCAATGCAAATATCAAATATGGCTATTTCAAGCTAGCAACATTTTTTATTCCCGTTTTAAATTTTTAAAAATTCGCAACGAATCAAAATTTGTGAAGGACAACTTAAAAACAACGCCACGTCGTTGACAGGGCAAATCGATAAGCCAAATTACGCATACGTCACGTGTGCATATTGTAATGTGTAAAATACACATATATATTTTTACGCTACACCTGCAGCGACATAAACACAAGCAATTTAATGTGACAGTAAACTAAATTTGACATTGTGCAAGCAATTTGAAAACAATTTACGAAATGTCAACAAATTACTGCAATTTGCCAGCGGAAATTCAATCAATTATTTGTTTAGCACAGCGATTTAAAAGTTTGCTCAAACAAATGGCTTTTGACTTCCAGGACGGTCTAGACAGACGACGCGTCGGGCGGAAAAAAATTGGGTGCAGTCGAGACAATGCAATGCACGCGTGGTATGATGTGCTTGCTGCCTTTAAATGGATTTCTTAATGCCGTCATGCAAGTTTAATGCCAGTCTGGACTGTAAGCCAGGCCCTGACCGCCTGACGTTGACCCTGAGCTGCTGCCGCCGATGTGTCACATGCAAATGTGTTGAGCTTATGTTTCAAAGAAGCAACTGTGACACAAAGATGTTGAGCTTCATTGTTTGCCGGCAGACAGACGAGCGCAGGTCCTTTGCAGGATAACAACAACAGTCTGGCTACATTTAACATGCACAAAAAATGCTGTGCTTCCTGCGTACGCAGGTGAGCAGCAACCACCATATTTACCTTCCCTTGAGTTAATTGTTTTGCAGATGCTTACAATCAGAATCTCTCAGCTTCGTTCCCAGGAAGCAACAACTTAAGCTTCATATTGAGCAGATAAAGACAGCGCTGCGCCTTTGTTGTTGCCACTGCTGCATCATTGTTGCACGTCTTTTGTATTGCATAAATAAAGCCGCTCGCCATTTTACAGTTTTCCTCAATTCAAATTTTTATTATAGCGCAAAAATGGAGCTACCGAGCGTTGGCTTGCAATTACTTTCTGTCTTTAGAAGAAGAAATGAGCCAAAATTGCATATAAATTGCATTTCTTCAGATTAATGTTTATAAAAATTGTTAAAACTCTTCATATCTTTTGATGCTTTAAGGGATACAAAGTTATAAGACTCATGACAAGTGCTCACTAGAAGATACTCTTTGTGTGATGTTTATTTTATATTATATGTTTTATTTTTTAGTTCGATGTTTAATTACAAAGATATATGGCTTCATGTACGTTAAGTTTTATGAAGTTTTTATGTAGTCAGCTGTTTTCTTTTAGATTATTTACTTATACCCATTCTCTAACCACTTTAAAAACACAGAGTATAAGGACGTGTAACGCCAGCGTAGGAATTTGTAATCAAAAATGGCCGAAAAGCCACCAAAGGCAAAAACTAATAATAAACGCTTAATAAATCGTCTATCAAAAGGCGGTTGCCAGAGTTGCCGCTGCACTGCGCACAATGAAGGCTACATGTATGATATATGGTCTAGCCAATGTCTGGCTGGCTTCAATTTCCAACCTCAACTCCAACTGCCACTGGCCGTTCGCTAGTTTGCCCAACTGAGAAACTTGCGTTGAAAAAAATCCAGAGAACAAAAGCAATGCGTCGTTTTATTAAAACCGCAATTCATCCAAGCGAAGGAAAATCGACTAATAAATGCTTAGGGTTGTTTGGAATGGAGTAAACGCGATATTAATGGTGGGCGTGGCTTGGGCAATGAGTGAATGAGTCCAGTTTTAACGCCAGCATAAATCATAATTTGTAATCACATTGTTTGGCAAACAAACTTTAAATTCTACGAATATAGACAATGTTATACCCTATAGGCAGCTGGTTCATTTAATATATACTCAGATAGCTAAAGTTAATATAATGGTGTGCAATATTTTCTAGTTCAGAAATACCCAAGGTACAACAGATTAATATACATCACATCATTAACTGCATGCGTATGCAGGGTATATGCACACACTCCTTCCTAATGATACTGACCATAAAAATAACCATGAAATGTTTGGCAGCCAACTGGAAAGGATTGGCCATTAGCAAGACCATAAAGCCGAGCGACAAAGTTGCATCAAAACTTCATTGCGCTGCTAATTGAAGTGAGGCAGATTGTCAGAGAGATACATAGATATAATGTCCCAATCAAAATGTAAAATGCCTTTCTTAAGTATTAAGAGCTACAGTCGGCAGCTGGAAGAATGTATGCACAAGCAAAACGCTTGGGCCGCTGAACAAAGCTCCAAGCAATAAGAAAAAATGCAGTAAAAAAAAGCAAATATCAAAAATAGAATTATGGCCAAGCGTTGGATCGTAAAAAATTTCCATTGCAGTTGTAAATGCTGCGTGCTGGTAGCAAGTACGAAAATATGTACAGCTATAACGAGTTTTTACGCTTGATAAGTCAGACAAAACACAGAAAACAAGGAAACTCTGTATACTACTTCCATGGCAACATTGTGTTCTTAAAGTGTTTAAAGTGTGAGAACCGAAGGGGTCTTCAGCTTAGTTAGTAAAGCTTAGTTATGTATGCATACAAAATAATTGGAGATAGGAGTGGCCGAGGGAGATGGACTGGCGAGAAGATTTATATTAAAACTATATGTTGATAAACAAAATTATTAAAAATGATATTTCATTCTTTAATATTATAAACTCACATTTATAATTTTGCTGAGCATCGCATGTCATGTCGAATGCCAGACACATGTCATGCTGAATTCCCGCCCATCTTGAAACCTACACGAGCTATTCATGTCCAGACGAAGCTTGGCTAATTCTTTCTAACTTAACCATGCATTTATACATACTGGCTATGTTGCGGTACAGGTATGGCGTATCCTGTTGCTTTCGTGTGTCGAACAGCAACAGCCACAATAAGAGCAAAATAAACTGAAATGGAGGGTGCGACAAGGACCAACACTCCGGGCAAGTTACAATGTCACGCACACATATTTCCTGTCATTCTAGCGTTTATTTCCTCACAACGTTTTATTTTTTTTTTATCGCATCCTTGTTAACACGTGCGTTTCTCTATTGTTGTTGTTATTATTGTTATTATTATTATTATTCTTGCCGTTGTGTGCTGCAGTGCGTCCATGTGGCCGTGCCCCCGGGGCGTTCAAGTTTATCAACGCAGCGATCTTTGTTATATGACCGAAGGGGCGGACCGGGTGAGGCCTCCCTGCTCGTGTCGGGTTACCAATTGAAGTCCATTGGCTGGAAATGGAGAGTCTGGTGTAAAACAAAGAAAACAACAATAATATAATTATATGTTAGCATGACATGTTACGTGCAAGTGTCGCTGTGCAGAATTTTAACACATTTCTGACGGGCTCACGGGCGTTCCCTCGGTTCCAGATTGCTCCGAAAGACGGTTGGTAACTTGAAAAAAATGGATTGGGGCTGATTTTTCTTAAAATTCAACTATAATATTATTCAAAATCTTCTGTCATCTGTTTAGTTTAATTTAATTTAGGTTTATTTCTCAAATCCCTCTACAACGAATCTCTTTAAACTATATGAAGCCCATTCGGGCTAGATTAGAAGCTCATTTACGGAATTGAACATCCATAATTCTTAACTAACGTAACTTTGGCTATAATTTTGTGGCCACATTCAAAATGCACAATTGCTTCGCTTGCTAAAACAAACCAAATTTTGTTGGCCATTTCCCAGGCGTACCACAAGCTAAGTAATATATTTCTTACCCACCTCCCATGCAACGGGGGGAGACGTTTATGAGTAATTTGATACCTTGCGATAGCTTTTTGGCAAAACTTTTGACTTTGAGGCCATTAATCAATTAATTAAGCATTTTATGAATATTTCAACCACAAAGCGGCAATATAATCGCCGGGGAGCCAGTCAAATTCCGTTCCAGGTCCACGAGGAGTTACCTTTCGCGGGCCACTTAGCAATGCACATGAATATTTCTTCTATCGCTCGTGACCCGAGTAGTCCTGGGACTGTGTTTGGTAAGAGTAAAGGGAGCCTGAAGCTGTCCGCGCTGGGATCAGGGTCCTGGCATAATCGAGCGCATGATGATGAGCTGTCGTTGACGCAGGATAATAAGCAGAAGCTGAACACAGAAAGGGATAATGACTTGTGCCTCCCCAAGAAGTTGATGAAAGCGCCGCGCGAAGGCGAGCTACCAACTTTCTAAGGAAGAACAAAACTTTATGACTAATTAATTAAATGCGCTATAAAAAATGCTGCTTGTTCCCGCCCCATGGTAAAGTTTATGCATTTCTGAACCGTGAAAAATGAGCACCGAGAAATTTTCCGCCACCCAGAAAAATAATTATTTAAACAAAAAGCGGAAAAGAGGAAATTATCGGAGCAGCGAGCGACAAAACGTTTGAGTTATGTGCAAAACAAGTTTTTCAGCATCGCGGACAAAGTGTTGGCCAAATATGCAGGTGGGTGAACTGGGGAGTGTGTGTGACATTTCGCTGTTTGCTGTTTTTATACCCTGTACTCTGAAGAATGCTGAATAAGGCATACCTGCGTCAATGAAGCTTAAATATTTTCGGTCAGTCAAGTCCATCCGCATAAGTCTCTCTAATGCACAGCACGTGTTTCTTACTCAGTCGATAAATATATATTCTAAGAGCGAGTCCCAGAGATTATAGGCGATGGAGACGAAATATATATTCGTGTAGTGTCTTGAACATTTTACCCATTCTCCTGATATTCTGCTTTATATATTGAAAATATTTCACTTTTAGGATATCTTCTGTTCTGTGTCTGTATTTCAGGGACGTTCGGAGTGATATCTGCTAGTCGGGTATTCTTAATTCTTCCTATTAATTTTTTTTTTATTTTTTCGTTCATCCCAAAAAGTTTTTAATGAGTTTGCCAAATGCAGCAAAATGCACAGCTGACTCAACGTCAATGGCTCTATAGTCTTTATTTCCGAGTTATGCTAAAACATTGTTTTCAAAAAAGAATTGCAAACAATGTCAAACAAACAAGAATAGAAAAGTTTTATTCTGCGGGCATTCGGAGTCGAGTCCCTGGCTAGTTAGATTTATTTTAAATAATAATAATAATGTGAAAACATGAAGTCGATAGCTAAGTCTAATGATGATACAAACGGAAAGTTCGCAGAATAATTACACAAACTAAAGAGCTACTCAATTTTTTTTAGTTTATACTTTTTTAGTTTTTAGACGCCTAGCATAAAAACTTGAAAAATATTCATGTGTGTTATATATAGAGCCTAAAATGTAGAGATTTAGTTATGAATGAGCTATGAGTACTATTTTCTTAGATGTGTACTTATCACATTTAATACACATAAGCTAAAAAGCTTTCCGGTTGGGTGTCAATTGACCCCCCCGTTCATATGTCAACATCATGCACAATAGCTGTCAATGGCAAAGCGACAGAGAAATCGTGGTATTCACCAGGTTATTCAATACGTTGACAGTTGCATATACATATGTCGTCGAAAATAGCCAGCCCCAAACTGAATCTCACACACGAGCACATACCGAAACGTAGCCATTAATGGTCAATTTCATTTCGATTTGATTGTGTGGACGATTTTGTTCTGGGGCATTCAACGTCTGGGCTGGACTGGCAATTACGACAGCCTCCTGTGGCGCACGTTAAGTGCGCGTCCGTTCAAGGGCTGCTCATTCGAGTAGTACACGAGTTGTGTTCACGTATTCGTGAATAGTATTTTTATGCCAAAGGACCTCATGTGGGTTTGTCAAATTAGCGCATCGTTTGTTGAGCCGGCCCGAAAGCTCTAGACTCGTTGCGACTGTATGAAAATTGTTAATTTTTGAGTCAAGTTTCCGCTGGCCATTTCTTGCCACCGACTTAAAGCGACTCACATCAACACGCAGCGGGTTGCCCCAGGCCGCAAATTGAAATGAGTTTTGCCAGCCATGCAAATTCCTACTCACACAACATGTTTCCGTGGCTGCTAATCACAAATTCATTAATTTCTCAGACCACGGCTCTGTACGATGGGCATGCAAATTAAACAATTAACATTTATGTGCGGCACAAGCAAATACAATGGTCAAAGGCCGTAGGCTATGAGCTACCTATCTTGATGGCTGATTTGACCTCAGGTGTGGGAATAATACATTTAATTGTGCGCTCAACTATTTGGCCATAGGGTGAGATGGGTATACGTATGTGGAGCTGTATAAACTGTTCATCAACTAAAGAATTTATTAAACATGTGTAGAGTTTGGAAAAATATTCTGCTTTGAGTTTTGCATTCATAGTTTTCACACCCGGAAACCGGAAGCAGCTTGTCGCCAACAGTGCCAAGCGATTGCACTTGTCGTTCGTCATGGCGCTTCTTGCTTGTATATCGCAAATCGAGTGGAGTGGAGTCTATTTACAGACGATGCCCGAAACCAATGAGCCCTGCTTCTGACCCAGTCCCGGACCCGTGGCCGATACCAATTCTGTGCCCAACAGCAGTTCTGTTCAGTTTCTGATTCCGATTCAGGCGGGGTAAACAAGTCAAAGTAGTAACCGCCGACATTTTGCCGTTCGACGGCCGCATCCCCAGCTTGCCACATCCAACCAGCCGGGGCCAACCACAGACGCGTCTTTTGTTTGCTGTAGCTCATTGTTGTTGTTGTTTTTGATGTGCGTGTGTGTGTGTGTGTGCGTATCTGTGTGTGTAGTCTGGTTAGCTGTTTGCCATTGTGGCTGCAGATTTGCTCGCTGAGGCACTAAACTTTTATTTCTTAAATCCGAAATCGTTTGTGCCCCTCGCACAAAGTCAATATGCGGGCACATTTAGGGAACGAGAGCTGAGGGTTGGCGACAGTGGGGGCTGCCCCAAAAGGGCGTTGGGCTGCATGTCTGTCAACGGCAATGTAGCTGCTGTTGGCTTCCTGTTTCTGAAAATCGGTTTTTGTTGATTTGCGCGCCAGTTGTTTAGTCGCCGAAAACATGGAACGCCGCCAGTCAGACCAAACGACATCCATATCCAACATCCAACAACCAATGTCCAGCAACTGGCAACTGGCAACTGGAGTGGAGTTTTGTTTGTTGTCCGTTTGTCAATTACAAACTTTTATTGCAATTTACTTTTGTTTCAGGCTCGCAGCAGTCAGTCGCTTCCATGTGGACACACTTTGAGGTCGTTTCAACGCCGGGCAACGGGCATGGGCATGGACCTGCCACTGCCTCTGTGCTAGTGTCTGCGTCAGTGTCAATGTCTGAGCCTGGTCCTGCGCCTGACGCTGCCGGCCATTGTGGTGCGTCCATGTTTTACGTTCAAGTATTTAATATTGTTTTCGATGAAGTAATATCCATTTGTTGTTTGATGAATTGTAACGGTTGGTTTTGCCATCAAATAACGATTGCCCTATTGGAATTTCATTGATGTTTGAGCGGCGGATATTTGGCCATTGGCCATCGCCATTCCCATCATTTGCCTGATGTTTGATTGCTCTTCACCAAAATGGTTTTGTTGTCAATGTTAACATGCAAAGCCTGCAGGACGGGCTCTTAGTGTTAAGTGGAAGTGTTCGACAATCACATTGCGTCTATTTCGAGGCAACATCAATGCGGCAATCCAAAGAAATTAATTAGGCTTATGCCGACAAGCGTTTTCGTTGATATTCGTAAATATACATATTAAAGTTTATTTACTCAATATGTAACTTACTTCATATGCATATTTTTGCTCAGCATGAACAGCCCAGTCGGTAAAGTTAAGCCTCTCTGTCTGTCCGTCAATCATTAAGTATGAACAATGTGATCTCAGAGTCTATGAGAGCTAGACACAAAATTTGGTATATTGACTCTCGTTTAGCTTACACAGGTCGAAATTATTTAATTCTTCTAAATACCCCCTATTGTAAAAATTTGAACTTAAGGTCGCCTAATTCACCCCCAACGGGGCAACGACTAAACACCCAACAGCTTGTGTTCTCTTTTAGGTTCTATAAAAAATAAAAGAAAATACATAAATTATATTCAAGAATAATAAGTATGCTATCGTGCTTCTAGTAAGTATATTTTCGGCGATTTTGGTGTTTATTCGATTTAAGCATCTTGAATAAATATTTTACCCCCCACATAAGATGTTATGAAAATGCAATTTAAAACAATTTGTCAACGACACTACAACTGGACAAACACACACATACCAAAAGGAAGTGAAAGAGGCAAATGTGAAAATGAATATAATGAAAAAGAGAAAGAAAATGAGTTATGAAGTACACGCTGAGAGCCTGGGACTGGGCAGTTCCGCTGCCCTCGATCTGTGCAGCGGCAACTGCGTACGTGAGGGGCAAGCAAATGGCGTAATAATGGTTGTGTGTGCGTTTGTGTATGTGTGTGTGGGTGTGCGCCATGTTTGGCACGCGCCACGCCTACAATAAACCGCAAATGTGTCGCCCGTCTGGACAGAAATGTATGCAACATATTTCACAGTTCGAGACTGGGCACAGTACAAAACAGACCCAAGGGACAGAATGGCTGAGCAACTGTGCAACTTTAACGCCTACACTTAATGCGTGGCAGTTACAGGCAGTAAGCCTCCGAATGCCCCCGGACTCCCGGATACCTCACAACCATCGACACAGTGAAATTTTGACTTATGTGCGCTCTGGGGGTAAGTTATACTTTACTACAGAACGCAAAGGTTTGCGCTCTGCGCCATGTTTATTGCGATTTCATGTACCATTAAACCAAGTCAAGCCAGAAGAGGAAAACTGAGATGAGAGACGAGAGAAAAAACTGAAAGAGAGTGTGTGAGAGGGGGTCGGGAGGGAAAAATAACGAACTGGTAGATTGTGTGTTAAGGAATCAGGTCTGGAACAGTTCGCTAATCTGTTGATAAATAAACAAAATTCACAACTTGATAGCTTCATTCAAAAAACGGAAAAACTGTAAGCGGTGTTGATAAATGTCGAACATTTTTACCTGTGGCAATGGCGACACTTTTTCAACATTTTCCACACAGTCACCCGCTCCAAATATTTGTCTCGCTTATTCTGCTCAGCATGCGACTCACGTCGCGGCACGCAAATGTGACCAGGAGCAAATGTTGTTATTGTTGATGTTGTTGTTTTTGTTTTTGTTGTCATTCATCACAGCCACGAATTCCTAGGAGCAGGATGTCAGCTATATGCAAATAAAGAATTGTCACTTTGACACGTTTGATGCGTGCCAAATGGTTGACAATTTTTACTGTCTCATCCTCGTGAAGACAACTGAAAATATATGGAATAATTTTACAACGATTCGTACTGTATGAATATAAAGAGTATTACAGCTTAATTTAAAATAGGTAAGAGTGCCTCTGTCGAGATTGCCTGACTTATACATGCCCTATACGTAGGCTTGAAATGCGTGCGTTAGTATATATGTTGTTTTTATTCCAATGCTGAACGAACCATATCCCTTAAATAACAGACCGGCAAATAGATAATTAAGAAACTCTTTGTTTTTGCTTACGAATTAATATTATTTACAGCATCAAGCTATTGTGGTATAACGTTTTGAGTAAGTTTTCGTTTTAAATACTATTTGACTATGTTTCGAAAGGCTTAAAAAATACTTCTCATTATAAGTTAATGCTGCTCAAGTAAAATAAATATTCCAATTGAATATTCCTGATTTTCCAATTTCAATATTATTGTTCTACTTCTTATCCGCCTGCATTATTTGTTTTTGCATGCGGTCAATCATATCCGCGTGCTTGGTCATGCAAATTCATTTATAATTTTATGCAAATTATTTTGTGATTATGCTGTCAGCCACAGTGGGAGTGTAACAACATTTTATTATAATGTCATTCAGTTTATGTTGTTATTATGTTTAATCTTTTCAATTTTCCGAGCATGCAAATGAATTGTTTGTACAATTGCATGTTAGTAATTTGAAGTGGGCCAGGGAAACTAATTTATGAGTTATGCCAAGGTTTGTCATATTATGTAAAATTCAAATGTTATTTTCTTTTAAAATTTTTAAAATTTAAACATATTTATTTTTGACGAATGAAAAAAAGTATTGAAAGCAATTGACAAGCGTTGTAGAAGAAAACATTGCGTAAGGCATTTCTGTTCAATAATTTATATTCTGTCATTTAACTAAATTTAAATGCAGCATCCCTAATGCACTTTGAAACTTAAATTAAAATCTCGCCATGGCCGTCATTATCAGGCGATGGCAACTGGCAGGCATGCCACATCCGACAAATACACAAATGCGGGTAACAACAGAAACAACACAAATGGGTGGGGAGTCGGAGGCATACCCCAAAAATATCTAACACATGGCAGTTCGAAGACAATGCGAAAGCAGCCGCCAAATCAACGCAGCCAGCAACGGATGCCAAAATGTTTATGCGCATAATGAACAAGCGCCATGTGCAAGGGATTCCGGTGTGGGGGCTTGCGGGTGAAAAGGAATCGCAGGAATGGAAGAATAGATGCCTCGCTGTCCCACTGCCCCCTTAAACGCTCTGCAGCGCATGTAATGAAATCTGTAGGCTGCCATGCACAGGCACAGGCATAGTCACAAGCACAGGCTCCGGCTTGGGCGCATGCAAATGCAATTGCAGTCAGAAATTCGACGGAATTATACACGAGAATTATGTGTGTGAAAGCGAAAATTTCGGCAATTGCGAATTGCGAATGACATAAACGCACACGTGCACACACTGAAAACAAACAAACCGATAAACAGTTGGCCAGAATGGTGACGCATGAATATTAAGCATACGCAGTGTGTCTCGGCCTGATATATTATAATGGCAATTGACAACGTCGATTTATTAGGCTTTATGGTGTAGCTAGAAGGCTACAAATTGTGTTATAAGTCTATCTTGGATCGAATTTAATTTGAATTCAAAACGTTCCTTCTACAACTGTCGACTCATTATGATTGATTCTTGAATTCATATCTAACTTCTGGGATAAAGGGCAATCGTGACATTCTTGTTGATTAATTTATCAAAGCCAACGCCTTAGTAGACACTTTTAGAACGCGCTCCAACCCAATTTGGGCGACGCATTAAAATATCATTGTGGATTTTATTTGTATGCATTTCCCCTGTGTGCGTTTTCTCAATCATTTATCAAGTGAGTTTTCATAAAATGTCACGCACTGCAAAAATGTTCCCCGTTGGCAGCTTATAAAAATGATGCCCCTGTTTCTGCTGCTTCTCAGCTCATAAGTCAGCACGACAACGAAAAAATATTGCAACTCTGTAAGTTCTCTTCCTGAACGTCCTTCTCAGTGTGTGTGCAATGACAAAAATCTAGTGCAGTGAAAAAAAGAAAATTGTTAGCAATGACTAAGAGCATCAAACAAAAGGATTTTCCAGGCGATGTCGGCAACTTAAAGCTGATTTCGTATCCTAACTCATATTTGACAATATTACTTTGTAGCATAAGACAGCAGATGGAGCATACACACAGTTACACACACATACACACACACAGCCACGCTCACGCATGTGTGCCTTACAGCCAATAAGTTGACAGCAGCCGTTGCCATTGCAGGAAAATTCTGTCGCAGCAACTTTATGTCTGTGTGTGTGTGTGTGTGAGAGAGAGAGAGAGCGAGCGTAAGTTTGTGTATGTGCCTTGCAGTTACGACTTAAAGCTTTTAATAAAAATGTCAACTGCATTGAAGGGAAATACTTTCAAACATGAGAATGTGTGTGGCAAAAAGCGAAGAACAAAATAAAAATGTTATTGAAATGTGCAAAAGGTAACTAAGCGAAAGGTTAAAGTTTTCCATAGAATTTATTTATAGTTACCCATGATTCCATACTCACTTTCCTAGTTAAATATGAATTGAAAGTGTGCTTCAATATTTTATTACAAAATATTTTAGTTGCTTACATTTAACTACTCTTTACACAGGCTTCAACACACGACCAACTAAATAAATCTTTGTCTGGTCTTTAACAGCGAATAAAAATGGATGATCAGCAATGAAATATTGGCGTATGTCGCTGTTATTAGCTGCGGGCTCTGAATTATAAAATGAGTTTATAAAGTTTAATACATGATTTGAAAATATTATAATAAGAATACTCACCAATACAATTTTCACAATCATCATTTAACTCAAAGAGACCCCTGTGCTTTATATTGGTTACTCTCAGGTTGGGCGTACTGCTAAGGTCAGATAATTCACCATTATTAAAAATTCTGCTGATGCCTATGTCGCCCAGTGCGTCTTTCAAGTAAGTTTCGTACTCGATCTTAAAGCGTGGAATCTGAACGCGCACATCAACGCTTTGGAAGTGAGAGTCTAGAAATCGAATGTCAATATGTTTAAGAAATTCCTCCTGCATTTTAAGATCAAAGGTGCGCTCATATGGCAATATAATCAGCAGGCTTAGTTTAGAATTCTTATATGGTATTTCAATGGCCCTGGACATTAGCAGAGGTACCTCTCCATAAAACAAGTTATCATCTTTGATATAGGTTGCAACAGAAACGCTATGAAAAGGGTCAAAGAAGAATGGCTTGTATTCCTTAAATCGGTGAAAGGGCTTTGCAAACTTTCCACTAAAGTAGAACCCTTGAACAAGGAACGATTTTGTCATACTGCTGATTTCAGCTGGACTTAGCGTATCCTTGAGCTTATGGAGTGTGTTAACCTCAACAAAAACACTTATGTGGTGGGCTATTAGCTTGGTAAGACTAAAGTTCACGTGCTCGGCTAATGCTTGGAGATAAGTTATGGCCAAATTTTGGAAGCTTGACTTAATGGCGTACTTTGCGTCCACATAGAGCTTATAGATCGTGAACAGCTTAACATCCCACGTGTGAATGCGCAACGGCTGTTGCTTAAATTCCGACAAGGCAACGTCCTTCGGATGGCCACGAAGTCGCAACCTTTCCTTTAGCTCCAAAGCAGTTTGGCCCTCGGCGCCCGCATAGAGCAGAGCGAGGGATGCACGTATCGTTGGTGGAGAGATGACGAGGTTATCGCGATTGTCCTTAGTTGCAAGGCTTGAAAACACTTGGCTGGTAAAAAGATCCGCCAGGGCCAGTCCCAGTGTGCATAAAGTCACTAAAAAGTCACGATGGAAAAAGAATTGTTAGAAGGGATTAATATTTTAACAACACCCAGTTATTCTGTCCAGCTGCCTTGGTACTTACGTGTGGCTAGGCGAAAAATCATTTTGATTCTGTGCAATAGCTCTACAAATTCGTTCTAGGTTAAAGTTCCTTTACATAAGCCTGGTTAGTTCTAGATTTATTCCCATTAAAGCATGAAGAGTCTCGTGATACGTCAAATAAGTTCCAGCTAGGTCTCACGTGTTGGTTTGTCGTTAACAAATATTATAATAGCTATTATACTAAACTTATAACAAATATAAAGCATATTCGCTGAAATACGTATTGACAAAGTTTTTACGAAAAGATATAAAACGAAACTTAAAACTTGGCCCAAAGAATCTTTTCCGAAAAGTGAAACACATCTGAAATTAAAAAAAAATTGCAAAAGTTCTACTAAAGTAGAACCCTTGGATAAGGAATGACTGTGTCACACTGCTGAGTTCATCGGTATTCAACGTTTCCCTAAATTTATGAAGTGTGGAACTCTCAATAAATGCATTTATGTGCTTGGCTGCCAGCTTAGCATTTTTGAAGTTAATTTTTCCAATCGCAGTTCTTAGAAACTTTGATGCCATGACGCTAAAACTCGATTTAATCTTGAAGCTTGCGTCAACATAGAGCTTGAAAACCGTTAACATCTTTATTCCCGGGGCTCGTATGCGGTAAGGTAGCTTCCGTAACCCCTAAGCTTTGACCCTTGGCGCCTGCATAGAGCAGTGATAAGGACCCACGTATTATAGTGGGAGAGATGACAAGGTTATTGCAAGTTTCCTTTGTGGCTACGCTTGTAAAGAGCTGACTTGTAAAATGATTGGCATGTGCCAACCCGAGTAGGCCCAACAATACTGTCACAAATAAACATAAAAAGTGCCGTATTCATTTATACATTCGTTTTTTATTATAGTTGGTAGAATTATGTTTAGTAAAATATGTGTTTCTTCATATTAACATTGTCTGAAGTGTAATCGTGTTGGTTACAGACTTATGCATATTAAATCGTGAAGGGAGTCTCGAGGCACATCAAATCAATGTCAGCCACATGGACCTCATAAGTTTTACACACGACTTGCGCACACTTGCCAGCCCAAAATGTTCCTCGGTTTGTGGGTCAGAGACAAACGCCAAAGTCAGTCAGCTATAAAAAGGTATGCAAACGTGTTTGCAGATTCTATACTATGCTATTCACTATGCAACCTGCATTTTAGCTACCTTGCAATTGCAACTAGACAATTTTATTGACAGCTTGACATTTAGATTGATTGCAGTTGGCAAAATAGTTTTCAATTTTTTCATTCTCTTCGACAACAATGCGTCGCACTGTTTTGGTTTATTTTGTCTCTTGTCTTTTATTGAACAGACCCTTAATTAAAAGTTTTGCTTAAATTGTTGACTTTGGCAAAAGAATAGCATAGTTAAAAAACGGGAAAGTTACTCTGGGCGGGAGTGCTCGATTTGAAGATACCCTAAACGTTGAGTCGAGTTTCCGTTGCCTTCCTTCTATACGCACATATACAATAAATGGCATATATCTCTTACTGCACAGCTTAGGTCCATTATAAATATGCCATAAATGCCATACATCTTCATTTTGTACAATTTTCTGAGCACGATGGGAGCTTATTTAAAATATAATACATATTCAGCATCATTGATTCAGATTAGAGAGCCTATATACTGAAAATGATGTCTCTGGCTCGTATAAGCCTCGAGCTATGGACAACAACAGGATATTAATTAACTTTATGGATACGGGGGGATAATTTGACATAAGCTCCTTCTTTTCATGCACTGGAAGGTCCTATATTAAGAATTGAGGCACAGACCGACTCGGCTGTTTGAGAATAAATATAATTCACGAGGCTAAAGATGACATTTTTTGCCTTTTATATACATTTGAATTAAAGCATTATACCCTTCTTGTGTATTTTTCTTATGTTAAGGATATATATATACATACTTATATGCGCATGTATATATACATATATGCAACTTGCGACTTTTCAAGTTATTTTTCCCTCTTTGCATTACATTGCATTTTGGCAGGCAATCGTGTGAAACTATTTCAATTTTGGCAACAGCCAGTCTTGATTTGTATTATGCAAAGGCAGCTTCCAAACTTGCCTTATCAAGTTTGGCAACTGAGCTGCAGTTGAATTCAATCGTGGTTTAGAAAACTTTATTTACTTGAATTGTTTTATATTTTTATCCGTTTGTGCATATGCTTATTTAAATAATGTGTACCAAAAATACTTCTCGTTTGTTTAGACTATAAGCAGCAGAAGTGTATACATTGCAGGAAAACATGTAACTGTATGTAATGTAATTTTTAGCTGTTTCTAAAAAAACTGCTCAACTAAAGCGAACTAATACCCAACAGTCCATTGACTAGCCTTACCAATAGTTAAAAATTCTGGAAGAGACTCTGCACAAACGCATAAGCAATATCAACTGTCAATCACAACGGAGCTAAAAAATAAACACCAGGCATAGGACACACGATGCACTCACACACAAAGTTATCTATGGGCAGGGAAAGCCTCTTGAAAATTGTATACAGAGTCTTCCCATCAGTATCCAATCCTGGGGATGTCCGTAAATTATGCATACAAATTAGAGACCGGTATTGTGTGTAGTAGATGACGTGAACATAGAAATGTGGAATAATAACATTAATGAAAACACGTTGATGACATGGAAGAGACAAACGGACAGTGGGACGGAGGGACAAACAGCTGCAGGATACGACGGCAAGCACAAAATTAAACAGAACAAAGCAAAGTGAAGCAGATGGCGACAGGATAAACACACATACACATACATGCACATGCGGAAGCACATCAGCGTTGACAACAATCACAGCGAGCGCTAAAACAAAACAACCAGACAACAACAACAACAACAACAACTACGACAAAACACACACACACACATGCTGTCGGCATTATAAATTTGCAGCCGCTTAGCAACTTTACATCAAAAAGGACAAAATCCAGGCAAAAGCTTTTGATATGCTTGTGCCTGTACAGGAACTGCTAAGTAATAAGTATTTGCCTGACGGAGTAAAAAATAAATAACTGGTGGCACACAAAAATCGTCCATTTGCCTGCCTCAAATGTGTGACAATGATGACTCCAACAAGAATGGTGTGGTCGAGAAGGGCTCGAAAAAAAGTACCCTGCATTCTTGCTAGAAGTATTTTGTTTTATACTTTGAATAGATTATAAGATGAGCAATAATAAACAAATATTACCGCAGCGCTCAAAGCAAACATTTGGCAGTGTTTTTATTTATCAGTATCGTTAGAAACTATAAAAGCTGGAGATTAAAATTTGGAGTCTCCTAGTCCTTGTTTTGACGATATCTCATTCGAAAAAATTGGTAAAACTAAGCATAAGCATCACTTACAACTATAGAAACAAAATAAATCAATTTTGGTAGGTATGTAAAGTATTCACAGATTCGATCTATTTTAGTGTTGAAATTATTCACCATGTTTAGGCCAAATCTAAGGACACATTTTACTGCCATATTTATGTCACAGAAACATGCAGATCCTAAGCGACAGCATTAAAATCACATGCTGACAGTTTACTGCACAAATTACCTATTAATATTAACCAGACCATTGTGATTTCCAAGAGTGGTGCTGCAGATAGGATATTTTCGGAATAAATATGCCTCTTTTGCACATCTACCATTAGAATATGCCTTTTCGACCATTTGTAAAGATACAGGGTACATAAAGCGAGACATTAAGAAAACAAAGAAAAAATATATTTATATACATTTGCGTCATTACTAATTCCATTTTTTTTTGCTTTTGTGGTACACTTTGTCAAAGATACTCTTGCAATATTTGCAGGTTTCTATGTAAAGCATATAATCTGTCAAGGCAACGTGTTTTTTGTTTATAGATTTGGAGGCATGGTTGGAGAAGACTACAAAGGGAGAGAGACGTACAATATAAGTTGGTTTAATTATGACTGTAGGAATGATTGGGAATATGGTTTTGCGAAGTGAAACAAACAAAAGAAAAAAACTAAGCTTAAAATACAAGGATATTGTGAACAGGTAAATAACTTGCGAATGCTGATTAAGGACTGAAACAAAACGGCAAAACAGCTTTATATTCATGACTGACTGACTGAACAAACAAATGGTCAAAATCCATCAGTGGGTAGTCATTTTTTCATGGGTGGAAATGGGTGGAAAATTGAAAGCTTGAATTCAACTGAAAATGCTTCGCTCCGACAAATCCGGAATATACCTGTTAGTGTTTGCATAGCCGTGAGCCGTGTAAAAAATATACATAATTTTGGAAAAGTTAATATATAAAAATGCTTGGGAAGATACAATTTACATTATGTTCAATAATTTTATATAAATACATGTACATACGGAAATATCAGCGTAAAAGATATCAGCTTAATTATTAGCCACAAGCTTCAACCCGCCTCTAAGGCATTTTGTAAATTTTAATTGAATGGAATACGTTTGAGTCGCAATCAAGTATACTCTATGGCCTTCCAATAAAATGATTCTCTTATTGCTTCGCAAATCTTTTTATTTTCATTTGACTTTGGCATGACTTTACCTTAGTGTACAGTGTACACCTACCGTAAAAAGATGAAATGTCCAAATTTCTGCCAGTTTGAATTTGGGGCTGCGGTTTTATTTGCTTTCAAGGTGAGCTGGCATGTTTGAGGCAGCTTTGAAAAGTTTTTTAATTAATTAAGAAAGACTGACTAAAAAGTTGATACAATTAAATAACAGTTAAAGATGCAAATGCATAAAGAAAATTTTTCAAATAGAGCCCGGAACAGCAAAGATCAGGGCTAAATGCCAACCACATCTAAAACAAATTTCATGAATTATGTTGCTCTGAAAATTTAATAAATGCCCGCAAAAGAGGTCACAAAAAATGGAACGCACTTCTGTGACGCAGTCACGTGCCGCTCACGAGTGCTGCGTGCTGCGGCATATCCGCACACAGACAACGACATTCTTATTCATATATGTATGTACATATGTTCACTTATTTGTATGTAAGTATGTATATGTGTACATACAGTATTCTTTCACTTGCTCCACAAATATGCGCCTAATAATGCGCAGCCTTGTATTCGCTCTCCCTAACGCAGCTCGTGTTGCCATAAAGGCTTAAAATATTTGCACGTAAAATGTTCAACGGCAAATCTCAACGGAAATACACATACGCATATACTGTCACACATGTGCTACGCATGCCACAGCTGTTGCGCCTTTATACGCTGCGTATGCGTAATATGCCTTCAAAATGCCATCAGCATGTGCCTTTAATGACATCATTTTCCCTGTCTTGCCGCCTTTCAAATGGCTGAAAAGTGTCAAAGTTGATGTTTTTATTGTTTTATTATTGTATTTTATAAAAATTAAAATGCAAATGTAATTTTCAAAAACAAAACAGCTTAGCTTGCTTTCAAACTTTAAAGCCTTTTAGTTATTCACCAATTACTCCCAAAGTTGGTAATTAGCATATATCAGGAGTTAAAGAATAATGTTAACCACGTAACATAATTTTTAATGCAATGTAAGAATGCTTTGCCTGAAATAAGTTAAAATTAACTAAAATGCAGAGAGAAGCGGTATATATGCAAAGTCTATATTATTGGGTTATAATGCCCACTCTTTCCCTTTGCGTCTTTGGCTAAAATTTTAATTATTAGAATCAATTTATCAATCAATGATATAGTTAAACAATATGTTTAATTATATTAAAACAAAAGATTCTGGAATTTAAATTTCAATTGAGTATTAAATATCTTAGAGTTTAGCAAAGGCAATATGCTTTGTCATTCAAGAAAATCTGTTGACTGTTAAAAAAAAAATTTATTAAGTTAAAGCTAGTTCATTTGATATGGCTGAGTAAACTAGCACTAATTCAAAGTAAGAGACTGCGACATGAACCCATGCCTAAACGTATCCGACATCATTCCGCACATCTTTATTTTCATGTTCATTGTCGTCGCCTGCTGTTAAATCTTGTCGCAGTTCCCAGCCAGCGCTCATTAGTATGCAACATTGCGGTGGCTTACATTAATTGGGCGTTGCAACTGATTTGAATACGAGGCAAGCAGAAAACCAGAAACTTGAGTGCAAAAAAAAGGAACAGAAATATTTGCAATAGCTCCTAAACGAAAGTGCCATTTAGTATTGGATGCAGTCTGTCCAAGTCCGACTGCTGTCTCGCAGTCCGTTTGTCTGCTGTCCAAAACGAACATTGGCTTTAATTGCTAAGCCGGTTGGTTTGATGGCAACGGGGTTGTTGACTTATGGAAATGGCCGTCCATATCGGTTAATGCCAAAACATACGCGCGCTGCATAATAATGAAAGCCACAGAGCATCACCTAGCTATCTTGCCAAGCATAATTTGTGGTCCTTTGAAGGACATGTGACCAGTCAATCTGGCTGCCAGTGCATGTGTCTATTTATTTTAATTAAGCACAGGTAAACGTAGCTGCCTGTTTGCGCATGGGGCGTGTTTTATTTGCCGGCATAATTAAAATGCCACACTTTGTTTTCCTCTGTTTTTTTTTTTTTATTTTTTTATTTTAACAGAACAGCGAAAGTTGTGTATGACAACATCTACAACAGAAACAACGACAAAAAATAAACAAGCTGCCAGCACTAACGAATCACTAATTAATAAATAAGGTAAGGTAAAGTACGTTACGTAAAGGTAGCTAGGAGACTCTAAGTGTAGGAGTCTGGTTGCCCTGCCGGCATAATTATGCTGATTAATTTAGTAAAGCTCTTAGAAGCACACACGCAAAACAAATTTGATCACCATGCTTGTGGGCGTTAGCCACATTTGTATTGTCAGCCCTAGAAGTTGCTATTGCTACGCATAACAGGAGTCTGTTGTGCCACTTGAGGCTCGTCCAGCTTTATTGTGCTACAAATGCTTAGATATCATTGCTTTGATTTGTTTTTAATGCCAAATTACCAAGTTTTTTTCATAACAAACTTTTTGGGTCTTGTTCTTGAAAAATTTGGTAGTTCATGTTCATATGAAATTGCATTTTTATGCAAATTTAATGCAAACATGATAAATGCTTAAGTTGCATTTAATTTATAAGTTGGAAAGTATTTACTTTTCAACATTATCAAAATATCAAATGCCACACAGTAATGAAAGTCCAAGTAAAGGTGTTATGCATAAACACCGATGCGATTCTTTAACAATGTATATATCAAGATGTATGTAAAATGTAGACCTGTTTAACTAAAAAAAATTAACTTGCCAGAATATATATTATGCTATTTATGTAAGTGTATAACTTAAATCATATTTTGAGGCTTAGCTAACTTCCGTTCGTTATCCTTTGTAATCTTATAAAGTCATTTCTAGTTAAGCTACTCATTTGTAATTAATGCTTAAGCTTTCAAATAATGTCAAAAATGTGTATCTCAATTACATGCCACATAAGGACACACATCCAGAGGAGTAGAGCTTGGTAAGTGGCATAAATTGATGTCAGAAATGATAAAGTAATGTCATTAAATATTGCACATACGCCAAAGTGGCTGCTGCATTCGCTGGTCGTAGCTCAATTACAAAAACTTTTCAATCGCAGGCAAAAAGAAATAAAATACAACTCCGGTCTTACGCACAGCGTTATAGCAGATTTACACATACTCACACATTAATGAAACTTAAAGATGGCGCCGCCGGAAACAAGAGACCAAAGTTATACCACCCACCGATAGTTATAACATACGTAAATGTATAAGTATATGTAGTGCAAAGTAACTTTTTCTGAATCCAAAAGGAAGCTGGCAAAGAGATTATGCCATGTTAAGAAACAGGATAACATGTGAAGTAATACGAGAGCTGGAGAGTGGGTACGAGGAACTACCACCCACAACATGGCAAACAAAAGATTAGTGAGGGTTGCAATCGCTTTCGAGTGTCTTACATTTGTCGAAATTAAACAATGTAAACTTTTGGTTTGCTCAACAAGCCAGCCAAGCCAAAAAGAAGCAAACTTTGTCCCCATCTTTGAGTACAACTTGGAGCCAGTAGCTGGTGTGGGTGCGTGTGCCTCGACAGACGAATGCGAGTACAAATACGAGTACAAGTATGTAACTCAATTAGTTTTTACCCCAAAAACTTTATGTGTAATACATAGTTGTTGCTTTTGGTTTGGCGCCAGTCCGATTCACGTTCTTGGCCGTTTCTCTGGAGCATTTCAATTATGGCTGCGTTCGTGGTGAGTGGTTTGGCTTGAAGCACGACCACTTCAGGAGCCGAGTCACATATAAATTTCAAGTAATTGCTTAGCAAGTCAAAGTCCTGCTGCTGCTTGACTGCTCCCCTTCAACAAAAGTCATCACAAAGTCGACCAACTCCTGTAAGACCTGCAAGTTGTTGTAAGTAATTGCCGTCTAATTGCTTATTGAAATTATTTCCCTTCATTCACTTCTTTGACTGGTAATCGAAGCCCTGTCCCAGATTAGGGGTTCTTGTAACTCTGAATGCAATCACATGGCAAAATGAAAAGTACTCGGGGCAGATGGAGATTAGCTTGTGACACTTTGACATAAATATGGAAGCCGATTTGTATAATTGTGAAAGGGGACGACTTAGTGGAACACATATTTATGCTGTATATGTAAATATACATATACAATACAGCCAAATCAGCTTTTATATAAATGAAAACGACAACTTTGAATAAATATTTTGCCAAATAAAGGTTTTTATTCGCTTACATTTTGCTTTTTAAGAAATGTAAATAAATTATTCACTCCTTCGTTAAGGAGACATTTTTACAGCGTTCTCAAGTTGCCAAAAGTTGGCATTTTAATTTTATTAAAAAGGGTAACGGACAACGACATCTGAAGCTGGCCCATTTAATTGCGCACTCTTTAAGTTATTGATGAGCACTCTCAGCTCCCAATAGATTGATTTTATTGATTCGCCCCGCTTAAAGGGAGCATTGAATTTAAAGAAGAGCCCCGTCTATAGCCTTCATAAAAACCTCCGGGCTGAAGCCAACGAGATTGATGGTCTTGCTGGCGACACTTAATGTCCAGTAGCTGGCGCCCAAGGCGGAGGACTGAAAGCTGCACCAGTGAAGCGGAAATCACCCAAAGATGTGCCCATATAAATGTCTACGGGACTTTAGTTTTTTCTCTATTATTTGTTGATGTTGCAGCTGACCACATTAACCGGAAGCGCCTGGTGGCAAACTTATGCAAACCAAGGAGCAGATAGCGGCACAAAACTTAGCCAAAGAATGGCAACTAAGAGGCCAGATCCCAGGGCGATGTCCAAGTTTCTATGTTAGCGGCTGGCCAAGGAAGAAAGGGCGTTGAAAATGTGCAAAGCTTCCATCCTCTGGCGCCTTATTGTGCAAAGTGTTGACTTTATATCCTTCATTTAGTGGACGTAAAAAGGATATTATTAAAAGCTTAGAAAAGTAGCCATTTCCTTAGAAGTCAACGATGTCCTCATCGCCGCCGCTCGCTGGCGTTTTATCATTGCTGGCGAACAAAAAATACATAAAATATTAGATGCCTTCAAAAGGAATACAATACAAACTGATTTCACTCCAAAGCCCTCTCTTGGCGCCACGCCCACAACGCAATCACCCAGTTGACCAAAGTCATGTAGACAATGAGGCGAACTCGGTAACAGTTTTCCCATCTTTTATCGTAATTTTTTTTTTCATTCTGTTGTCCGCTTTTGGCTGCGGCTCATTTGTCTTTTATGATGTTGGCTCTTTTTTGTTATTAGAAAAAAAAAAAACAAACACAAAAAAAAGGATGTTTGCAAAAAGTCGCAATGGGCCGACTTTGTGTAAGCGCAGCGCAAAATTGTCCATATGAAAATATTCGTAAAAAGCCCATTATAATTATAAATGAGTTGAGCACCCATAATACATTTTATTTTTTTTTCTTTTGGCTTTGTATTTTTTTGTGTTATTGTCCAGGCTGCGAGTGCCTCGAACGGGGAGTTTATTACAAGGCTTTGTCAAATTGACTGCCACATTTTAATGAGCAGTAAAAATGTGGGGCAGTCATGAAAAGAGTAGTCCGCCGCGAAAGAAGCTGGATCACATTGTGACACAGAAATCAAATTTAATATACTTATTTTTTTTTGTTTGTTAAATATTTGTTCTGTCTTTGACTTTGTATTTGACTTTTGTTATTTGGTGGGGTACATGATAAATGTAATAAAATATTTTTTACATATTACAATACCCTGCATTTATTAAGTTGTGTAATTGTGTAAAACAGCGAAATAAAAATCCTAATCATTTCAGCCCTTTTACTTTTACCCAAGAGAGAGTATATCCAATTTGTATTAAGAAACAGCATGCATATCTTGAATATTAAAAAACTAGATTCACTAGATGTCTCATTTGGGATAGAATGTATGTTAGATTTACAACTTATAATCGTAGTTCAGTTGAAGACAATTTAGAGTTAATTCAGTATCTCTTTCACTCCAACTCTCTTATTTAATGGCTCTCTTAATTTGAAGCCTGTCGAATTAAAACGAAAATAGTTTTAATCAACCATTTTCGCATTTCCAAATGTTCTTCATATTTAATTGTATTACCAAAGACTGTTACCGTTCGAACCACCAATTAGTCAGTCAGAACTTAAAGATTATTGTGCTAATTGGAATCTGTAAGCATTTGTATAGGCGACTGGAACATAATACCTTGTTGTGTGCTCTTCTATTTTCCGGCTAGTTGTGTTTTTTTACTCTTGTGGGCGTGGATGTGGCTGTTGATGTTGTTTTAGCTGGTGCACAGCTGTCTGTTTTCGTGGCATTGATGTTTGGTGCTGGGGCAGCAATGCGTGTATAATTGCTCAGACAATGAGCAATTGTTTTTCGCTTTTTTATAATTTTCCTTTTTTTATTCGCATTTTTGCCTTCGCTCTGTTTTTATTGCTTTTGTTTGACCAGTTGTTGCTGCTTCTGTTTTTGTTTATGTTCTTGTTTTATTTTTTCTGGCGAACATTTTTTACATTGTTTGCATACATTTTGCAGTATAAATTTGTTATGCAAAGAGGCCTCAAAGCTTCATTTTCGATATGTGTGCCCTGTTCAAGCAAATTAGTTTACAAAGGACTGTCGCTGTTTCCTGCGCGAGTCCTTGCTCAAACCTGCGCCACGGCCCGTGGGTGATGTTTTCGACACACAAATTGAAAATGCATTTTAAATCAGCTGTCGGCGCATAAAATGCCGCGGGCTAGAAAATATTTTATACACATATATGTGTGCATAGTCGCTTTGTTGTTGTGCCAGACATTCGGTGGAGTGGCAAACCAGCGGAAGTGGACAGGATATTGCACACACAACCACACACACATACACAGAGGAGAGCGTGCCTCGTCCTGCAACTGTTTGGACAGTCTCAAAAGTTTGTTTGCCTTTTCATAATTAAGCGCGAAAATTGGGTTCCCCTAAGCTGGGGCGGGTGAGTAGCCAACGTGAACGTATCTGGAATTCACACTCGTTACTGTTTTTGTGGCCACCCACAGAGGCTTGCAATTAGTTGGCCAGCCATAGACCCATAACACAGCTAAAAGATAAACTACAGTTGCCGTCTGTATCTCAAATTAGTTGCAGTTCTTGTAGACGCCCACGTAGCGGTCCAATCAAGCGCCGTTTTATGACTCAATACTAGTGCGTATTTATGAACTTCAGACAATTCAGTGGAGCAGGGAGCAGGCAGCACTCGCTGAGTTTACTAAAACAGTTCTGGGCTAATTTCGTAGTAATAAAAATTCAGTTGCATGCCATAATTGTCAACGGCAGGCGACAAAGTCGACGGCCAAGCTGCGTGTTCATAAGTTGCCAAATATGAGTAGCTCGACAGAGCCTCAGAGCCCATATAGATAGTATTTGCCCCATAGTGCCTATATTCTTTGGGCATTGTGACAAATTTGGTTTTATTTCTGTGCGGCAGACAGACACAATAAAACACACAAATGAGCGGCACTCAGAGTCATAGTCACACTCTCAGAAGTGAGAACGTGGCACATTTCGCCTAGCGAAATGGGTGTGGCAAGTTTAATTATGTTTGCGTTTTGTATTCCTATGCACATTAATTCTTTTTTGTATTTTGTGAGCACTGGTCCAAAAGTCAGGGAAATGGTTAAAATTTGATGTGGGTCAAGCTTGGAAGCTTGAATCGTTGAGTTAAATATATTTATTATTTATAATAATTTATTGAACAACAATATATAAATAAAGATAGATAAAGAAGATATATCGTTATATTTATTTAACATGTAGTATTCTATTTTTAAACCGAGACATTACTTTTTTCTACCTTTACTACCACCCTTTGAACAAAAATAAATTTATTTTAAAAATTGATTACTAGGTTTTAGTTTATCATTTGCTTAACCAATTTGCTTAACCCCTTTCTAAAGCTACCTATATTAACACTAATTATATTTATAACTATAGTCGATTTAATTTTGCTTATCACATTGTATTTCTTTCAGTGTTCTCATTGCACATGCTCTCCTCCCGCAACATGCTACAAAGTCAACGTCGTGCCCCATGCCTTGGCAAATCCCCGAGTCTTAGATGCTGCTCCTGCATCATCAACACAAAATTGTTTCTCATGTTGCTGCAAGTCCCTTCAGTTCATGTCATCGTCATCGTCGGTCGTCGTCTTCTTCACGGGCGTATCAAATGTGACAGCCTCGAGAGAAGTCATAGCCATAGACTTCCAGACCTAGACATACGGTACGAATATTTTTGAAGACTTGAGCATACATACAATCAAATAGAATACGGTAAGTGTGCGGACATGGACGAGTCCAAATATTTCTAGTGTTCAAGTTGCATTTACTTGGGACTCTGTCTGCGTCCCGACATGTCGACCCGCTGCCTCTTCTGCTGCGTGTCTTTGAGCTGTTTAAATTGACGACAACTATATCCAGAGCAGCTTTGCTTTTGTCTGCGTAGATCCCCAGGCCTCTCGCCCTTCAGCCAGCTGCTTCATATGCGGGCTGCAAGAGCAACAATTTGACTTGATGTTGATGTTTCTTTGTTAATTTCCATGCCATGTCATTTTCTTTTTTCTTTCCTTATTTTTTCTCATGTCTTGCGTAAATGCTTAGTACGTGTGACAAATGTTGAACTTGTACAATTGTCTCTACTGCCAGCATTTAGCAAAAGTTTTTGTCTTTTATTTATTTTTTTTTTGTGTTTTATTTTTTTTTTTCATGGCACATGGGGGCAAAGATTTGTGTTAGCTTTGAAGGTATTGCATAAGAGGGATGGATCGAGTAAGTGGGGAGGGGGCAGCGTGAGATGTGCGCAGACAGGGGAGCAGAGTGCAAGCGACTTTTCGAGGAACGTTTATCTTTGAGTTACACGACATTTGCTGTCTACAATTAATTTGAAAAGGCATTGGAGCCTGCTGTTGTGTTCTCCTCTTCTTAAAAGTTGAGCTGTTCCAGCGCAGAGAAATTATAAAGGCACTAAGCTTACCTGTTACATATTTTCTTATAATTTGCTACAATATACAGGAACTTAACATACCTATATGAATTTTGCTGGATGGGGAAAAGGGACTCTATGCTCTAATCGGTTAAATTTCCTACCATACATTCACATATGTAGGCTCTAAACTCTATTATGCCTGCTTTTCCCTCCACCGTAGAAAATGCATTCAAAC